CGCTAATTCATAACGTAAATTTTCTGATTGTAAATTATTTTTTAGAGCTTTTGTAATCAATTCTTTTATTTTTACTATAACTGAAGCCAATTCATCTGAGAAACAAACAGAATAAAACACATTTTTGATATCAGTATTGGTTCAATATTGAGTCCGGTAAAATTTTTGCGATGTCAGACAAAATATTTAGTACTTTGATTGTAAATGACTATAAAGGATTAAGATTAAAGTTGTTATGGTTGCTGAGAAATAATGTGTCAATCATTATCATGTTAAGTCTAATGATGTCCTTGGACGTTAAATGAACATTTCCTATTGGCTATTATTTATTTCATTCGTTAAATATTGTACAGATGTTGTTTTCTATTTTTATGGTACGATGTGGACTGTTTGGTTAGTATATAAATAGAGTATGTCTGAAATACAATAATTCATAACTCAGGGGCTGTGACTTGCGTTCTAGACTCAACAGGCTGGGCTAGACAGGGAAGCGGGACCAATCGGGACTCGAGGTCGTCCTTACGTGTTTTACGTGTCACTCATTCGATCGATAAAACGCTGCGCATCTAACCGTGAAATTAACCCGTTACAACAAAAGTGTAGATTTTAAGCTGCTATATAGTTCGTAAATAACCTATTCATTACAATTTTGTTTGGGAGTCTGATAAATAAACATCTAACTTTTTGACCTAAATTATTAATTTTTGACTGCCATATTTCACATCATCATTTTTGTAAAAGAAAACACATAGGTTTAATACTGACCCTTCAATTATTGAATATTTTCACTTCTATATCATTATTTTATGTCTATATACTGAGTTTTTGCCGTCTAAATTTGAGTCATATATTGTATTTGTTATCCAGTGCCACTACAAAGTAAGCATTTTAAAGACAGTAGGCCCTATCTTGACATTCACGTGTCTTTTAATAGTTCAATTCATGTGTCGATCTAAGCTGGACCACTGTTAGAAACCTGGAAGTACTAGGCGGCCATTTCGTCCTAGTATGCGACTCCTCAACAGTGAGCATCCACAACCTTGCATGCGGGACTAAAACCCAGGACCTTCAGTCTCTCGCGCAGACGCTTAGCCTCCAGACCACTGAACCGGCATTCAACGGTGTCAATGTCTAACTTCAGTCGATCTGTGTATCTGATTTTAAAGAAATCGATAATAAGTAATCTAGGTAAGCATCGTTTGACACCTAGGTTGTTAGGAGTACTCAGATATTTATTTATTTAATAGACAATTATAATTGTTTAATTTTCACGATTGTAACGTATACATTAAAGGAGAACAACTAGCTAATTATGTCAGTAGGATTGTTTTTCAGGAAATAAATACAAATTTAAGTTTGGCATTAAATTGATAAAATGTTTACTTCTCACGGAAATGTGACGGAAACAGTCATGGCTAGCATTTTCGCACAACAAAAATAGCCCTTTTAAATTACCCATTCTACCTCTAATAAAAAATATAAACAGATGAATAATTTTTAGTAAAGGCTTTTATCAAAATATACTTACAAATTAAATATTACTCCATTTAAATATCAGACAACAAATATAAATACATTCTTGCCAATTTTTAAAATCTCACTTCAAGGGGTAGCCCTGTATATAACGAAAATATTTATAATTCCCACTTTTCAGTATCAGTTTCATTTATCAGTTTATTGGATAGTCATCTGTTATCATTACAACAGCCAAATTTGTAGATAAAGCGTAATAATGTTTAAGATTATTGAAACAACAAGTCACTCATTAAATAAATGATTGAACCAAAAATAAGGTTCGAGTAGTTACGATACGTTGATATTGAGTAACAATAATTCAATGAACCAAGCGAGCAACAAACAGAAAAAACCTAATAGCTATGTTATTGATTGGTAAAAACTTATACAGAATTATCAATAAAATACGACAAAAATTCCCATAATAATTCTATTGAAATAACATACAAAAATGGTCACTATTATTTTCGATCGGATCTTCGTCAGACATTACTCTGATATACAATTATATTTATACTCATGCATGAAAAGCATTAAACCAATCAAGGCAACGTATTAGTCGCTGACAACAATAAAATAGACTGTATAGCTAGACATAGCAAGCGCAAACCACAAACTAATATTAAAATGTGCTGTTATTTGTATAGCTATTAGCAATACTTGTTCGACTGTCATCTAAATGAGACGGAATATGTGAAACTCAAGGATATTTGGGAGATTTGACTGATACGCAGTAAGATTATGGTTTTTATTCAACGATGGAGACCTCGAAATATTTTGCTGAATAATTATACTACTTGTCATGATTAAGTAGTAAAATTTGAAATTTGGAAATATATCACTACTCTGCTTGCCATGGTCGTATGAAAACAAAACACTTATCAGGATTTAAAAATGTAGGAGCTGGACAGTCATTCAGATTCGTAAACGTATTCTTCAGGTGAAAGAATGAAGTATGTTCATTTTTAACTCGTTTAAAGTTGTGAACTAAACCTGATATATTCTGTCAAGAAAGCCACAAATTATGATAAAATGTGATCACTATATAATATATCTAAATTATTCATAATCGTCTAGTCCGTTTGTAGACAAAAAACAGTACGGATAGGATTTTACATTGTAAACGCTTAACATCACCTCTCACTGTAACGCTTATATTTTAAAATATAAATTAAGCCCCCTTAAATTTGTACGAAATTATTCCCACTTCTTCAAAAATTTAGATCATGATCTTTTTATGGCTTTTTGACTTAGGACTTAATTAGCAATACTAGATCAGATCTTGTTCCATATGACTAAATTTACGATTGCAACTGAATTCTCCTTGAAACCGAGGATAATATTCTAAACTCAATTATTTACATACACACATAATAAAATGTAATCATTTCGATGCAATCCACGTTGAAAAATCATTAAACAGTAGTTAGAATCCACCTGAATACTCCAGTGATAATACAATTGAATATCTTAGCAATATGTATTTTCATCTACTGAAATATTCTCTCAGTACGATCAGCATCTGCTTTACTGTTGGTATTAGAGCCCTTGAAATTGAGATTTCCCTATAGCGAATGATTTAAAACGTTCATGACTATGAATACTATAAAACGCCTGGTTAACTATAAAATTCTAGTCACCACATTTGTTTTAATTACGGTATTTACAGCAGTTCTTCACGATTTGGGTGATAGTTGATTATGTCTTTATTTATTCTTTTGCAGCTTAGATACAACATGGTTTAGTCATGTGTGGCATTCAGGCTTGTTTGATAAAAACGATATTTAATAAGTCAGGTTTTCAGTTTAAAAGAACAAACTATTGTTTTATGAATATCTCATGCCATCGAAAGTGAATTAAATTATAGTGAGTTGAAATATCTTGTATGAATGATATGAACCCATAGATTTACCACTGAGTTGAATAAGTCGAGATGAATGTATAATTGTCTTCATTTTTTTGCTTTTCGATGAAGATCGTGCAACAGTCTAGTTATAAATATGTAACAATTAAAATGTTATATTCTCAGTACAGAACTCATTCTCTTGCTTAAACAAGATAAAACCATGAACTAACTATCATAAATGTAAGGCATCATATTACGTGTCTTGAAAAACCAACTCAATATTATAATATCAAAAAATATCATGATATAAAAAATTCATCGAACAGTAATTATAGTTCGCAAGCCTGTACTTTAAATTCAGAATTTCATTAGCTTAGTTTGCTCAGATGGTAATTCAATAAACATATACCTATATACAAACAGTGAAAACGCCAAAAATCTAAACTAAACAAAGGTTTTAATTTCACTTCACTAAAAATACAATGAAGAAACAGCAGCACAACACAAAACATCCTCCTTGGTTTTGAAAATATACAACAGATGAATATATATATATATATATAATCAATAAATACGATAGCCAGTATTGGACTCAAGATTTATGTTCAAGAGAAAAAAACCTAGATTGTCCAATATTAGTAACAAATGTATATGTATTACAAATATTTGATTGGCTCATGTTGTCTTATAAATATCTAATTCAAAAATACAAGTGTTTCCATTTTAGCACTATCAATGTTGTTCCAATTATTGTTTTGATTTGTTGTTTATGTTTAATTTCAATATAAAATTGAAATGAACAAGTGGTTATTTTGATTAATCGACCGTTTATTTATTCATTATATTATTTTCAAGGAGTATTTTAAGCGTTAGCATATATTGCAAAATTGTTTTAGTTATCTTATTAATATCACTTTGTCCACATATATTTGTTTTATATTCATTCTTGTGTAAACTTGTGTGGTTTGCTGGTGACATACAAGTTAACTCATTAACTATCTAAACAGTTTTGATTAACCTTATTATACAATACGCCTAATTTAAAAAAAGACTAATATATGTATCAATCATCGTAAAGTATGAAGAACATTGTGTTGCTAATGCTTCTACTGCTTCAATTGTTACGATTTTATCAAGACGCTTTTTTAAATAACCCTAGATGGTGGTATAACTAACATTATTTAGTGATTTACGAGTTGTGAAAATTGTATGATCAGCACAAAATCTTGTAGCAATAATAATCATTACCTCACAAGTAAGTACGTTAAAGATGCACCTCCTACAGTTCTAGTGAGAAGCCGTTATGTATGGAATTCAACCTCAGGTAATGTATGAGGATTGCATAATACTGCAAAATGATTGAAGTTGGGCATTAAGACTACTAAATATCGGTTCGATAATCGGTTCGGTTAGCGCTCAGTGATGAAGCCGAAGATTATGGGTTCGATTCCTTATGGTGGGGTCTTTTCGAGTATTGATAAAGGACCTCATATTAGGACGAAACAGCTGTCTAGTACTTTCGAATTTCCAACACTGGTCTAGGCAATATCATTTCGGGATTTAAAAACTAAGAAAATTCGATAATATCCACTATTGTGGATTTTACATAAGTTGGGTAAGCAAGTAACTTAGAATGTTGGTGCTATATTTGATTCACATTAGAAAAGAGCACAATCTTTTCCCGTTTCCAAAAACGTTTATTTTATTATTGTTATTTTGAAAGATGTTTGAATTGTTAGTCACAGAAAATACTTGTAAACTGTTGAATAGAACATTATTTATCGTCTCAGTACATATACTTTGAATAGTGAATTAATTTGATGCTAAAATATAATCAACAATTAATTCCATATAAGACACAAAGTTGTAACATGAAAGTCTTGATTAGTTTTACTTATTATAGTCATTTTGACTGCTTTAAAGTTTCATGTTTACAATTTTGTTCAAACTTTACTATATAATTCATCTTCGTTACATTTACAGGAAATATATCTAATCTTAGAGCAAAACAATTTTTTCATGGAAAAAGCTACGAATTTGTTCTTAATCAGTACGTATCAGTAAACATTTTGGTCTACGTAAAAGTATATTTGTGGTGATGGTATCAAAATAAAATAACAGAAAATCATGTGCAAATTACCAATAAAATTATTTTTTTTTCAAGTGAATTAAGAAATACTCTTGTAAATGAGTTCAGCAGTCGATCCGATTATAGTATACACTTCAAAATATAAAGAAAAGATTCTCTCTTTTTAAATACTGCGTTTATATCTTAGATATATCAAAATATCAGTAATCCGAAATCGCCATTAGTTCCTATGTATAATTAATCATTATAATGTTTCTCAATGGATGTATTGATGTTAATTTGCTATTTACTCAACTGTAATAAAAATAGAATCTTGCAATTGAAATTTCAAAACTACTCAGTATATATGATGCATCGATAATGGGTTTAAGTAAACCATGAGAGTCTTCCAAGTTATGATAGAAGTTGATTTCAAATGTACTTTTCAGTGGCTTGATGAGTTATTTATTTCCTATCACTTCGCCTGTAAGTCATCAAGTAGCTTAAATAACTTAAAATCAAGAACATCAACAAGCTGTGTTATGTTTTGAAATAACTCATATGCATTTCATCATAAAGTGAGGTTAGCAAATGAATCCGAAAATAAATTTGCCATCAACAAATGAATTGTTATAGTGCAATTTATAAATGCCCAAACATTATGATTGTTTAAATTCTCTTCTACATAACAGTTGTAAATTAAAAATTAACTAATTAAGTATTACATTTTATCCATCAACTATCTGTAACATGTTCACCGCCTAAGTAATATATGCTCAAATACTAAACGGGAATATTTACAAACAGTTCTCAAAGTAAGGATCGACTAGTAGTTTTAAGGTTAAGTACCAGTTCAACTGCTGTCGTGGCTATAGTTAAAGTGCACATTATATCAACAACGCTTAACAGTGGATTTCTGAACATCTGTCATGATTATTTGAGAGGCTTATTATATAAGTTAAAAGATTCGAATGTGTGTATATTTTCACTTATACTAACTGATCTTTTGGAAACAATTTCCATTCACTGTCGTGGTTCATAAACAACGATATGCAACTTAGGAAGGTATTTAAACCTTCATGGTTCTGTCTTGTAAAAGTGTTACACAGGTTTTATCTCAAATTTTTTTGTGTTACAAGTGAGCACAGATGAGAAACTCTATATTCAAATTAAACATTTGTCCCATGTTTCTTGATTTACAACAATGCCTCAATTGCTCTCAATCTTTGACAAAATGCATCTACCAATATTAAGTTGTCTAAATTTCGTTTTTTTATATTTTATTTTGTGTTAATATAATTCTTAATTCAGTATTCTAAAAATCCAAGATTTGTTGTTAACTTGATGATCATCTCGTACAGTGATTTCAAACCTGTTTATCAACAGTAAAGTAAAATGAAATGAAATTTAAAAGTCATGATTTAGTACAATTGCATTATTAAATCAATAAAACTTCAAAAATGATTGTCTACAGTAAATTTCTTTCTACCTACTGACGATAGCTGCAAATCCATTTTCTAAACAGTTAAGGTTGTCAGTATCTATTACATGATAAAAAAGCAACATTTTTATTGTGACCGAATTTAATTTTATTCAGTAGAAGAAAGAAATATAAAATAAAGAATATTAATTAGGTTAGTATTCAACTTACTGTACTCAATCTCCAATCCAAGATATTTAATTTTATTGGCTTCGTGAAACGCTTTCTTTTTAAGACGACAAATTCTGAAAAGAAATACATGCACTTAAAAATCCAATTTAAGGAACACTTTGTGAACCTTTTGTAAACTGGGATTTTAAAAATAAGTGGTATCAAATAAATAATCTTCAATCACGAAAATTTATATTTTTCATGACTTATATGAATATATTTTACTACAGATAGCTCAAGACATTTTATACTATGCAGTTTTGCCAGTCCCAAACAGTTCTTGAACAGTTTACTTTTATTATTAGAATAAACCATCTCGGATAAGTTTTTAAGCTGGAGTCTAATTTATTCAAGATTTAATTCAGAAAATATTCATTCATGAATTCAATTTTTTTATAAAGGAAAAGTACAAATTCATACGTTACTTTTTAGCCTAATACTCTTATTACATCTATAATTGAATTGTCATTCATAGCTTTGATTCTTTTAGGACATTTAAATACATTTCCCATAAGAGAAAGCTTATTCGAACTTGGTGTTTTCTATGTCTTACTATTTGTTTGTCGTAACCCTAAGAAATCTGTACTTATGAATAGACGTAATTAAATAGTTAAAGTATCAAACGATATGTTAAATTAGTGTTGTGTACTAAAAGTTGATTTTTCAGTAGTGTATTAAAAATTTATGTTTCAACTGAAATAAGAGAGTACCTTAAATAATGAAATTTTTGGTTAAATATGAGTCTTTTTATCACGTTTGAGGATATACTACTTACTGATTACTGAGTACTGACCAATGTCATGCATGTCTAATCCTTTTTGCAGATCAAGTTCTATTGATCATGCTGTAATGTTCTGTAGGATTGAGATATTCATAACTTTATCAATAAAATTCATTTGGAACTAAAAAATACGAGGCAAACGTAACAGTGGTCACTAATCATTAACCAATCACTTGCAAATGTCTCAGTGCTGCAAGAGGTTAGTCATGGCCCAAATAGATTTATTGTGATATCTCTGACGGTGGAACTGAACGATACGAAGTCAAATTTATCAGGGAGCATCAGTTCCATCATGCTGAACAGTGTAAAAAAGCACGAAACCTGGGTCTAGAGTTCTGAGTCGTCCGTTTACAACGCACAATAACTCAATACGTTTAAGGGTAATCTTGGAAGGAGTAAGAGCTTAAAATCTCTTGCGATCCGTTTAGTAAGAATATTAATCTTTCATAAAGATAAGTGATAACCACCTATTTATTTTTAAAAAATATTTATGCACATACAGGTAGAATGTGGTGTAAATGAGTATTTCATAGATTCGTCTACAGTAGAAATGGTTTATTACGAAAAAACTAAATATAACCATTGGAAAATTCTAAATTACCATCTCACGGTTTGATTATATCTAATCCCACTGATATATGATAAGGATTATTGTTTTTACTTTTTAGTTTATTTAATTAAATTAAACAAACGTTTGTCATTTTTATCCATAATAATTTGTTGAATCCCGATACATTGAAACGGTTATTAGTAAGTTATATTTTGTCATGATGATAATCTTCAATCATAAAGGTGATGGTAAGAACTCCAAATTAATACTTTTGATCGAGCCATCTATCTCACACAATACAAGACTACCAGAATTTAACTAACTTATCAACATTTCACGATGTCGATAGCTTTAATTCAATGAAATGATAAAAGTATAACATAAGTACATCGCTTTTGAAAAATGTTGATGTGAAGAAATTTATGTACATGTATATTTTATACTGTAGAATTCTGTATTTCGTTGATATGAGCCTGATTACACTTTTTGTGAAAAAAGACAACAGTTAGTAGCCTTCAACTTATCAAAACCTTTATAAACAACTTTGGTATTATCTATTTTTATCAATGAAAATATGATAAATTTTGTTTGTTAATGATGTCGTTAACGCCTCAACTTAATACTTACCTAATGCCTACTTAACCCACTTCATGTGTACTGCACACCCTGATAATTCTATGGAAAACCAAAAATCATCAGAAAAATTGCCGTATTATTAGATTCTTCCCCTTTATTCTTTGAGTTCGTCAAAAAAATGTGGCCTATAGTAGTGAGAATATTCAGATATGATGTGCTTCGTTGTAAATGAAGGCAGAAAGGCTTCTCGTAAATAGTGGATAACTGAGTGATTGTAATGTAACATAAACTTCACATCTGAAAGCCAGCAGTAGAAATCTTAACATGAACTCTAGTGATTTCCAGTTAACTCTGACAATTATTACTTGACTGAAATTGAACCATCAGTGACTTTCATGGTTTTCAACCAATTACTGCATCTGTCGTTTACAACCCCCTCGTAATTTTTGTGAAAGCAAAGCTAATAATTACTAAGCATTATTGACATTTTGAACCATAGTGAAGTATTTTATGAAGCACATTGCAAAGTAGTAAGCGCGACTACATCATCTAATAACATTGTAATACTGATTATTCTAATGCAACTGACCATTCCATAATCCACTGTCAACCAAAAAGTTATCGTTATAGTAAAGAAATATGTCATGTGGCCGAATAAATATATACAAACTGTGACCAGCAAATAACTGTTTATAATCTAATGAATAAATTGATAAAGACAACACAAATCAGCAAAAAAAGTAAATTTTTCTTATTAAATGTTTTGTTAATTAAAATAAATAAATTTTATAATGAAACAGTATTGTTACATATTCATTTTTCAGTCAACCAATAAATTCACTGTTATACTCCATATGACTACGTGTTATAAGACAATAGGAACTATTATATAAATGGAAGAAAACACAATTAACGTGAATGTGATCGAATTTCAACAAATTACGTAATAGAATCTCCGAAGAGATTAGCATTAATTATTTTCCTGATGAATATCTCAATACTCGTTTCTTTCACACAAAGTTCTAATTAGATTACTCTAAGATTAGTGCCATTGTATTGTTCTTTCATCATTGAGTTTATTTGTAAACGAACAGTTCGTCAATGGGCACACAAATATATATATATACGTACTAAGGGAACTCTGACAAAATGATACTAAATTACATGAATGGTGAAAGGAGTAAAACAATGAATATATTCCAGTCAAAAGATTATTATCGAATTCGTGAGTCATGATTTCAGTGAATAAATGTAGATAAAGATAAAGACAAATAAAACGGTCATTGAATTATCAATAGGAAAATGAATACAAAATTCTTTGTAATAATAATCAAATAAGACAATAATTTACAATGACCAAATTATTAACGTGATAGTTTCCGTGATATCATTTATGGCTTGAAAAGATAATCGCTATAAAATTTCCCATGATATTGTTTTTTATAAAATCCTTTCGAATAAACTATTGAAGGCCTTATTGATGGAAACAATGCATACTTAATACTGTTAGTCAGATTGATCAGACAAATTCAGTATAAAGTGATTAACTGATAGAAATTTATTTTGTAGAATTTTATATTGAAATACTTAGTGGGAGTCGCTTTTCAACAAGTAACTTCCACACTTGTATAAGACTCAAAGCTTTCAATTATAACATGAGAATAACATTAAAATCCAGATGACAAATTCATACTAAAAACTATGAAAAATATAACAAATAATTATGTATAAAGAAAGGGAACCTAACAATTAAGAAATCAAGAATTGATAGAAAAGGAGATATTTTGAGTTTGAATAAGGAAACTAGCTTAAATTATTATCTGATGCCCATCCACCAAAGTTTGGAAAAATAGATAAGTGATGCTGAAATACCTTCACACTTGTAATCTGGAAATAATTAATTTGTAGTTCACAGGAATATATTACACTTTAGTTGCGTATATTAGTTTCTGTGAATTACTACTATATAAAACATAGATTATGTTACATGTTGTATATACTGACAAAGGATATATATATCAGTGTCAAGGTTGGACTTGATAGTTTTGAATAAACTGAGCATCTGATAGAAAGTTAATAATAAATGTAATCCAGGACGGGCGTTTCCTTCTATTAAGAACTCGTCAGATGGACGTACCTGTATCCCAGAGTTGATGTTCACACCGAAACTCGAACCCAGTACCGTCCACTTCAATCATCATCGCGTTATCCACCTAGCTACTGAGTCCTGATGGTCACTTACTTGTTCATAAGAGTAAAATTGTAACTCATTTTGTATTGTTTATTTGAATCTTTCCATTGATGTTTGAAGTGAATGGTACTGGGTTTGAGTCCTGAAGTGAACATGAACTCTGGGATGCAGGTACAGCCAGCTGACGAGTTTTAAATAGGACGAAATGGAACGCGTACTGGATATCACTGCTGTCTCCTCAGAAAAAGTGTTCATGTTTCTGTTCAAATTAAATATTGACAATGTCAATATCTGAAATAACTCTGATTTTCAAATATTTTAGGTTGTAAGCAGCTGATGAGAACCTGACGAAACAAAATGAATTCACATTATTCTGCACTAATTTTTGTTCTAGCTCAACTTGATGTATTGATAAATCAGATAAGACTGTTTTTTCTATATATTAAATCCGTTAAAGGTGATTTTCACAATATATGTAATATTCTGCGTATTAAATACATATGTATCAAACCATATAATATTATATCGAAAGCATTCACCTGAACAACATATCTTTATTTTAATATTATATTAAAAACTATCAATTTGAAATTTAGTTATAATCTTATGATTCATAGTAAGCATGTAATCATTAAATTTTAATTTACAGAGATGACACTAGAAATTAACATATTTCATATCCACATGTCATTGATCTGATTTATTACGTAAAATGATGAATACTCTCTGATAATTTCAGGCAGACATAAGTAGCATATAACACATATAGGAAGTAGAAAACCTGGCATCAGAAGGCCAAGAAGATTGAGTTGAATAGAATGAAAGGGAAAATATAGAGAAGTTATGAACTTGAAGAATCAAACAGAATGTGAAGGACAGCTGATGGATATTTGCAAACAAAGTATACAGTGTATGGTTCTTATATTTTATCGAGATACTCTGGTTGTCCCCACTTGTGTTCTTGTCACAACAGTTCTACAAGCACCTTAAAGAATTGAAGATTTTTCGGACACATCTAAACAATAACAATAATTATTTTACAGTCTTTGATTAAAAACAGATTTTGAATATGATTTCTGTTTCAACGATTTTAACCACAATGCTTTAGTTTCTATACCATAAAATTATCTACTCTAATTAGAATTCTTAAAGATTGTAAGGATAGTTTACTGATCTGTTGAATTAACTATTTTTTAACGTAATTGTGAACATAGGAAACGTCCAATGAGAGACATTTAAGAATAGATAATCAACACTTAGCCACTGATAACGTAATTTCCAATGATTCTTTATGTAATTAAAGGATACAATTTTTATTACATAAAGCACTTCACTGATTACGTAATCCCTATATTGAAAATACCTTTACTAAGTAAAAACAGACATCAAATATATATGAGTTACTTCTGAGTCTATCCCCAAAACTATTCATTTGATTATCTTTACATTAAAATGATTTTTTATGTTTTTGACCAACCATATCTACAACAAAACAAGAATGTTACTAGTATAGGAGTTTCATAAAGATTCCGGGATTTTTTCTTACACCACAGACTCTTGTATACGGCTCTAACGGTAGTTGGATTATCTAAATCATTCAGACAATTTTGACCGAAAACGCTGATTTCATCTCTATAACATTCTCACTAATCAAGACATCAACGTAGAATAAAATACCAGAATTCCTAAATACTAATGGAAAGTACGGTCTGTAATGACGTTTGAATCTATCGAAAATGCAATGACGTTGAAAAACTGTAAAAGTAAACACTTCGTGATGTACAATAATGTCAATAAATTACTGATTGCAGTTATGAATTACTAAGAAACAAGTCAACTTCCAAGATATGAGCACAAATTACACGATTTAGGTTTACTATCACTGTCAAAAGGTTAGTTATTCATCTTCTTTGACATATTCACCATCTTATTATCATATCTTTAATTTTTCATTTTACAATAAATATTATTGTCATTTATTTCGGCGTGACTTATTAATTTTGAATCTTTTTAGCAACGAAATTAATACATTTTGGCAGGAAGTTCTATATTTCTGAGCTATTTTACATATGAGCAAGTTGGTTGAAGTAAATGCATCAAAAATCTTCTCACCAGATAGTAGATTTGTGAAGATTGCTAATTCTTATGGTGCATATCAAGGACTGATTTTAGTCAAACAACTGTTGAAAATCAGGAAGGAATGGATATATAATTCATCGTAGTATGGAATTTTCAAAAATGTCCATCTATGATCCCATCGGGAATCGAACTAAAAACCTTCACGTCTTTCAGTGGGAACTTAATCTTTAGACCACTGAGCAGACATCAAATGATTTACATATCTAACAAAGATCAGTTCATGTTAACTCCAAACCTTAACATTCCCCACAAACCTTTTATAGAATGATAACAATCGTGTACTCATATCGACTAGTTTCATGAGGTAATTACGGTAGTTCTAGTGAATAGCCATGGCTAGTGGATTTCAACCACGTCAAGTATGGAGTAATTCGTCACAGTGGACACTGGATGATGGCTGTGTAATGTCTCAAATTGATTGAGGTTAAATGTATAAACCATTGGATGCTAAAGTTTAAATGCTCACTGAAAGACTTGACGGGTTTTAGTTTGATCCCCAATGGGAACATGAATTGACATTACTGAAAATGTCCAACCAAATGATAAAATATATATCTTGTGCTTCCTCATGATCGTAGAACCAAGGTCAGTCCGTGATGTGAATAATCGAAAAACATATTTTCTTTGAATTATTTATGTTTTCTTTTGATCTGTGTTTCCAACGAGTATAATAACAGGGAATGTTTTCATGTCGACCTGCAGTAAATAGACAACTTATTGATCATGATGTCTATAGTTAAATGATAAAAAGTGGATGCCTGTTACTTCACTCAAAGCAATGAATATGTTTGATTTAAAATATTTAACTCCTGAAATCTAGTAGAATAAGACTTACTTGCTAGCCAACTTGTTTTTTTCGCGTTTTGCCTGTTCAACTATTTTGGAATTGAAGATACTCCCAGAAAGATCCTGAATCACCTTAAAATCCAAATTCATATCTGGCTGATCAAGCACCGAACTTGCACCTGTAGCGATTAACTCACCTTGAGCTGTGATATTTCTATTCAAATGAGCAAGTTCTTCCCCCATAGAACGCAAACGCATTAAATTTGGAGTCACATCATTACCGTCACCTCGACGCAATTTCGAGCAATGAACTAAATCATATCTTCTTTGAACAGGATCTTCAAAAACGACAAATGGATATCCTGGCAAGGATAATGGGGATATAGGATAATGTATTACTGGATTAATAACACGAGAAGAAGCACTAGAAGACACGAAATCATCTTGATAGACACTTGAAGTGCAATTTTCTGTCAAACTTGATTGATCATCTTCAGCTGAATTATTCAAAATCATTGTGTTTGTCAAGCTTAATAATGGAGAGGCCTTTGGACCTTTGCACTGGGAGTTATATAGCCAAAAGTATGCACCACTCGACAAATTGAAAGTGTTAGGAATGGGTACCTCTGAACCGGTATCTTCAAAATGAGTTTTCAAAGAGAAATTATATCAGTAAGCATGTGACTGATTCAAAATATAACGTAATTTCATGTATAATATGATTGTCGCTTTTAATCTCCTGAAATCTTTCCTAAGGCCTGATAAAACATCCAGAAAAGTTACAAGCTTTATGTGATAAGGCACCACGAAAGTCACCTAACGGTCAATTAATTAATTAACAAGAACTAAATAGATATTGTGTTTATCAAAACGATGATAAAAAGCCTCATTACTTAGTGTTCATGAAATTAATCAGTTACTGTAATGTCAATGAAGTATAATTTACCAAGTACACAAATGCACACAAGGCTACGAGCTAGATTTTTTTTTACATAATATTTGTTTCTAGTGCTTGACGACACAAATCAAAGTAGGTAGAGTGATATCTCTAAACACAAATAAGTAACTCGTTTACTAATTCCAGGTCAATATACTAGACCTTTGAGCTACACACAATTTTATTTAAACTGGGGATACTTCGAAAATTAAAGTAAAAATGCAATGTTTAAACCTTCAACTAATTGATTTAGTCCAAGGTACTACCTATAAAAGTATTTATTAATATTTTATAGGTAATATCAAGGCTAGATAACATAGACCTCTGTGATAACCCTTACTATTATTGAAAATTAACAACGGAAACTAATGAACACTGGTATAGCCTCTTCATTAAAAAGTAAAAGCAACGAAAACAATGTTCAATTGCAAATAAAATAATATTTTAACATTCAGTTTTGATCAAATGATTTTTATCGTTAGTTTATTTCATTTTACTCATTCTCTTAACATGTATTTACAAATTTGATGGTTTCATTTAGTAATCTAAGGTCAGTAAATTTGGGAAAATGTTCAAACAAAAATAACTCAGTTTTTGTATGCATCATCAAGAGTATTATAAACCATAAAATTAATTTTTGTAGTTGTTTTGTCTGAACAGTTGAGTTTCAAGTAATTTTTTCAAAGAAAGTTTTCATTTACTAGTTGTATAACAAACTTTGATGAAAAAATATGTTTGCTAATTTAGCTCAATTTAGAAAAAAAGATGGAATTTTAACTATATTGAATTATTAATCCTTCATAAACATATATATATATATATATATATATATATATATATATATATATATATATATATATATATATATATATTAACGCAAGCGCTTGCTATTATCTGCTTTGTCATTTTTGTTTCAATAGAACACAAAGTAACAACAAACAACGAAACGAAATTCTGTTAAACTGATTGACTTAGTATTAAATAGCATAGAAATTCCGCGGGCATAATCAAAGTAAATCTGATTTTTACTATCTTAAATTGTATTAACAGGTAAAAAAAAAGAAAAATATCAGAATGAGAAGAAGAGGTGTAAATTATTTATAATTATAACACATCTCTTTTATAATTACACGCTTGACATATTTAAGATTATCATAAAGAGGGTAAATTTTTCAAATATATCTTATAGTTTTTGTTGCATAGAACAAATAAATTAAAGTTGATCAATAGGAATTGTTGAAAATGGAAAAATTTGTTGAAAAACTAACAAAACTAGTAATAACTTAACAAAGATTATATTGAAATATTTCATCATTTAGAATTTTAGGTTTAATATCTCTCAATATGTTGAGTGTTAGATAACTATATATGATAAATAAGAGTTTGTCAGTTAGTCGTCAATAGATGAAAGAAATCAGACTATATTATCAAGCTTTTCATGGTGAGTTTACTGAAATGTGTATTTTACTAGTGAAAATTCTAACTATTATTGTCTACTTCTCACTACCAAGTTGTTCATTAACCTTTGATATTATACGTAGTATTATATAAATACGTTGATGAAAATAGTATTTCGTAATTAACAAATAGTCTTCTATTTACCTTAAATGAAATAAGTTTAAAGAAAGAAAATATTAATATACACTTAACGTTTCATAGTTTTCATATTATTAATGGCTATAGTAAGTCAATGCATTTTAATCATTCTGTATATGATTTAAAAGTCACTTGCGGAAAAGAAACTTAAAGAAATGTTTAGTAATGTACCTCAAATTTACACATATTTTCTCTTTCTCAGTAAAAAAAGGATTTATTCATTACTGTCTCTAATTATACCGTTTTTTACATAAAACTAAAAAAAGGAATATTTATGTTGTATTTGAATAGTCTCCCTTTTCATAGACACTGTCTGAAAAGTGTAAGTGTCGAAATATCATCTAAATCAGTTAGTCAGCATAAATCATGTTTTAATGCAAATATATACTATTAAATAATTTACATTGAACATGTGAGTTCTTTCAACTTTTTGTTTAATATAAATTGTTACAATGCTCAATAAATCCAAAAAAAGGATTTTCTAAAATGTAATAGAAGTATCACTATATCTATTTATATGTAAATAGATGTCAATGAAAATAGTATATCATGATAGATGTATGTATAATAAATAGATGTTCACATACTTTTCATATACAAATTATTAACAGAATTAATAAACTAAATTATTTTAATTTCATTGTGGGTAGTCTCATTGACAGATGACAAAATTACTAATTTACATCAATGGATAAAAGCAACAAGAAAAATAAACAATAAAATAGATACATTGAATTAATAGTACATTCATTACTGATTTGTTACTTATTTGAAAAAAAAAGAAAACAAAAGTAAAATTAATGAATTACAGTAATAATTTAAATTAAAAGGGTTTTTTCTTAAATAAAAATAGAAAAATAGAAGTTTTTTTCCTTCTTTCTTAGCAAGAAAAAAAAAGATACTCAACCTGTTAAAAATTACTCATCAGGTCATTTTATATTTATTTTTTAGAACAACTAATTGTAAAGCTGATCAATTACTTCATTACATTTATATTTCATTCAATTAAGCATAAATGAAATAAATTCTATGTAATCTGAGTTTTTTTTAGTTGTATTTATGTAGAAAATATTTACACACTTTTATGGAATCATTAACTGATCACTATGATTATCTCTAGTTAATTAATTTTCCTTAGACTTGATTGATTCTATGTTCAACATAGTGCACTAAAATTTTGGCTATTAATGGTGTGTAAATGTTTATTCTATATTCCTAATAATAATATGAATGAAAGTATGGGAAAATAACATGAGAATATTTATATGATCAAAAAAAACTAATAATTCTTCCCTTTCATCATGATTTTGAGTTAATATTTAAATCAGTTTTTTTATTCTATGACGAGAATCAGAGCTTTCTTTGAACTTATGACAGATCTAAATGATACAAAAAACGAGTTAAATGATTTTATGGTTGTATTAACAGAAACACTGCTTACAACTTTTAAATATTTTCTATTTTCAACTTAAAACATTAGTATAACATGAATATCAATGAGATAAAGTTTAATTTTTGTACTCAAATAAAATGTGCACAACTATTATACTTACCTAAGTCTTCACTTCTCATAATCCTAATATTTTCTGTATCATTTCATTAAATCTCCTTACACATTTATTATCTCAATAAAAATTAAAAAAATAATTGATTTAGTTCAAATAATCTACTCATCAATGTAATATTACAATTTCCCATTAATTTTAAATCTGTTCGCTTGCAGGCACCGTTATGATATTGTAAGATAGTAAGTAACCTTCCTTATTGTACACTAGATTTTCTGGCATATTAATCAAGTTAATATTATCATTGGACAGTGACTAACAGTTGATGTCACGACTCACGTTCTTACCTGTTTGGCAGTGGATTTACTTTAAGACTAGTATTTAAGTTTACATTGAGAAACAAGCCTCAGTATCAACTAGGGTATGTTATAAGCATTTCCAAATAATACTAAAATTCATTGTTCACATTTTGTAGTTAAAGATAATTGTTTGCTTTTCGTGCTTACTGTTAAAGATGAGGAAGATAAAAATGTATGTAATATCTTTGGCTTTGCTCGTAATCTCGTTGTATCATAGCATTATGGCAATACAACTTATCTTCCTAAAATCGTTATTTTCAATAAATTGTTTTGTATGATGATCAAGTTCATTGTAGTATGCAAAACAAACTTTGACATGTAAAGTAACTGTAAAACTGTTCAATGAAGAACTTCACAAACTAGCGCAATGAAATTAAGTCTGAAGGCAAGAATACCAAACAACTACCTTTTAAAATAAGGTATCAAGTCAACTTAATAGGGTGTCGAAATCCAGTAATTTTACTATCAATTACAATTTTTCACATAAAAAAAATACATCATAAAAGTAGGACAATTTCAGGATAAACAACTTATTATAAGTGTCAAATAAAAAGACAATAATTGTTTATATTTTTATGCCATAAAAGAAAGACCATGAATCGATGCAGCTCTACTTCAGTTTGAGTAACATTCAAAATTCTGAATATACTTTCAATTTTCCTTTCGTATACAATTCAGTTAATTTAAATATCTTCCCTACTTTAAAGGAGTCTCATATGAGAGTAAATGTTCACCTTTTGACACTTTCACTGGGAACATACCTTTCTTTTTTAGCAATGACTGCCATATTTCGGTTTATATTAACTTTCTTTACATAATTTTATTCGTTCAAACATAATTAATATATATATATATATATATATATATATATTAAAATATAATCGAACCTATGTTTCATGAATATAATTCGGTAGACGTTTGAATAAGTAGTCTATAACAGAAGTTATAAGTTTATTGTTTAAGCTAATTAAACGGTTACTTGGGATTGAGAAATAGAAGTTGGAGAGGAGGTAGAAAATAAATGAACAAGTAAAAATAAACAAAAATATAAACATATGACCATGAATAGAATGATAGTAGCTTCAAAGTAATATATATATATATACATTAAAATATATGAGTGTTGATAAATATGTTCATACATGCATGCATAAAGACAAATAAATAAATAAATAGGGAGATACACAAATATAACTATTATCCCTCTCTCCTCACTTTCTATTTCTATAGTATGAAGAAAA